GGAAGCTTTAGAGTCAGTAAGTGCTAGATCTGTTTGTAGCTCAGAAGTCTTGTTGTATCACATGGTCCAGTTTCCCATCCACACTGAAGCAGAAACAGAACAATAATAGAAACCAGAGGAGGCAGCCAGAGGCTTGAGTTATTAAACATTGCTTGGCATTTCTTGGTATTTTTGTTCTTCTTGTGTGCGTATGGTTGCGTGTGTATTTTTTTTATGGTTGTGTGTGTAAAGGAGGGACCCAAGCTGTAATAAGGAACAAAAATATCATGGTAACTCAGGGTTGGTTTGATTTGGGCTTTGCAACCACCTTGCAATGCCGTAGAAATGACCCAAAACACTACCAACCGCACAGCAATAAGCCAAAATCACTCAGAACACCCTTGCTAGTTTCTTTCTTTCTGGTAAATGTGTTTAGTTCAGTTCTGTGGAAGAGTCAGGGCTCATTGGTTAGCAGGTCCACTTGTTTCCCTCCTTTCCACACCTCCTGTCCTCCTCCCCGTCCCGCTCTCACCTCATGAGACTGTCCACCTCTCAGCCCCTCTAATACTTTGCAGATGCTCAGGCCAGTAAATACACCTCACCGCTGCACCGCTAACTCCCACCTTCAGTCACTGACACTCCTGCAAATGCACAGTGAGATGCCATTGAGTTTAAGCTTGTGCAAGAGCTTAGTTGAGGTGTTTGGAACAAATTCAGAACCTCTGAACTCTACTAAACACACTTTAACAACAGCTGATGAACCATGCTGTTCAAAAGTTTTGAAAGAAATTAACACTTCTGTTCAGCTAGGAAGCATTAAATTGATCAAAAGTGAGAGTAAAGACATGTACAATGTTAAAAAAGATTTCTATTTCAAATAAATGCTGTTTTTTTAACGTTCTGTTCATCAAAAAAATAAATAAAAAATCAGTTTCCACAAAAATATTAAGCAGCACAACCGTTTTCAACTTTGATAATAAGACAAATGATTTATCATGTGACACTGAAGACTGTAGTAATGGAGTAATTTTTAAAAAACATTAAATACAAAATCGTACCGACCACAAACTTCTGAGAGGTAGTGTACCTGTCCAGTTAACAGTGTTATTCTCTTTTGCTTCTCTTTTGTTTCTCTCGGCTCTGCTTCCACGTCATCTGTTTTACTGAACTTGATTGTCAAAATCCTTTACTTCAGTCTGATATTCTAATCATCTCATATTCACAAGGATGTAACTGAATTATCAAAGCCCAGTGCTGGCACAGTGTTTCTTTTCTTCTCTTTGTCCTGTTCTGTTTTATTTATCATTAATGTTCTGGTTTTATTCCACTGTAAAGGGCTCATTCTTGATAATGTTTTTTTTTTATATATTGTGCTTCATATTTTGCTCAGGGCCTTGTACTAATTGAGGCAAGCATAACATCCCTGCAGTTTAGGGCTCTCTGGGATAGGAATATTCTAGAACTTTAGAAGTATAGCACACTTCTCTGAGAGCCATAAAACTTCACTGCATAAAGTAGATGTCAAGCACTTCTGCATAAACGTTCTTTTCTTTGCAACTCAAGGAGTAACATTAGCCTGTAAATGTGTGGGATTGTGTATTTCTCGCCCCGTTTATATTTAATACTGTTCTTAAAGGTAATGGTTCTTTATTGGCATCTATGGTTCTTTTAGGAACTGTTCACCATAAGATTCTTTGGGGAACCAACAATTTTTCTTCTTAGGCATTGCTGTGAAAATCCCTGTTTGGATCCTTTATTTTTAAGGGTGTAGATGCCAATAAAGGACCTTTATTTTTTATTGTTATTGCTGTTGGGGCTCCAAAGTGAATTTCAGTTGCATGACTGCACATCAAAAATTTTAACATTTATTTAACACACTATGTTTAAACGTAAAATATTAAGAAAGTTGACCTTCCTGAAAGTCAGTGCATAATTTACACACTTCATTGCTGTCTGAGCTGGCGGCCGCCATTAGTTTGACAAACACTGAACAGGCCTGCTATTTAAATAGACCACAGCAAATGCCAGAGATGACTTTATGAAGATATCACCCAGACACATAACAGAGAAAGCCACAGAATGCGATGCATCACTCGTGGATTTATAGATATTACTTGACTCAGGTTCAGGTGGAGTGAATGAACAGAGCGGTGCCCAATCAGTACGAACTACCATTTCCTGCCTTTCCTCAACTGTCATCATACGCTGCCCCTCGTTTAATAGTGACTCTGGGAGTGATAAAGCTGAAAACTCTAGATTTTTTGTCTGAAACTTTTGTGTTGCCGTATATTACCTGCAGACCCAGTGAACTGTCACTTCCAATAACACTTTCTCGGCTAAACAGTCTCAAGCGATGAATGTGAAGTATTTACTATTAGATACGACTCGAGAGGTTAACAGCCGGAACAATTGGTCTGAAGAGGTTTGGCAGAGACTATTTACTGAATTTCAGCCATGGAAAACATGCACAACAAGCCTTTAAAATTAACCTTTATGTGGAGTTCCTAAAGGTTTAGTCTTTGGTTGCATGTAAAGAAAGTACACAAAGCGTTTCTAGTTTACTTTTTAAATGCAAGAAAGAAGACCAATCACAATTCAATATGCAAATGATTAAATTTCTTTTAAGTAATGTTATTAAAAAACAACAAATACCACACCTGATATTGATGAATGGACTTTGAATGCATATTTTGTAGTTTTTGCTTTATTAATTAAAGAAGAGGCATTTATTTACCCAATATGCTTATATTTCTTATCTTTTATTACATTTTTTTCATTTATTTTTTTTAATCCCTACAAGACTCAGTATGATACTTGATGCAAATGCTGGCATGCTTTAGTCTCTTAAAACTCTGGATTTTCCTACTGTTCATTTCGGACATATTCATAAATGTCATGTCCTATATCTGTCTTAATGGTGGCAGTTTCCTTTTATAGACACAGATCTCTCTGATTTAGGGCTTTTAGCACAGTGTCCTGCCTCTATTCGTCTAAAAAGGAGTTCATTCTAGAAGGCTCGCAGTGACCTCATACTGCTGATCTGAAAAAGAGAGTATTCATTCTCCCACGGGAGTCACAAAGGAGGAGATTGAGCGAGAGAATGATGAAAAGAAAGAGATGCAGAGAAGATGGAGGCCTTGTCATATTTTGGACTAGATGGGGGGAATGTAGATATTAAGCAAGAGCCCTAAAGGGTTTTTTAGGGAAATACTGGCCATGAATGTTTGTTTGTGTGTATCTGGAGGGGATCAAAGAGACTGGCATATTTTCATAAAATGTATGTCATGTAATAAACTTAATCTATTCTAATCCAACTTTTCGAATGGAACTTCATCAGCCACTTCCATTAACAGTATGGTTGTATTATGCACCAACATCATTGGCATTACTGCATTTTTATTAAACTCTGTTATAAATTCCATTAATTTATTAGACATAAATTATGTTTGGGTGAGCCACCTGTTACTGTACACTCTAAATTATGTTTATGCTGCTTAGAAACACTAAACAGCATCCATTAGGCTAATGAACTGCATTACCAGACAAAAGGATTGCTGTATTTAATATTTTAAATTTAATTGCATTTATAAAAATATTATTAATAATAATTGGATAAATTTTTTATATTTATATTTGTTATTCTTATGCATCTGTATTATAAAATAATAATTGTTATATATATATATATATATATTTATTTTTTTATTTTGTAATTTTTTTTACATAATAAAAATAAATAAATCCTTTATGTAAAACACTTCATTAGCATTGGGTATGAAATGTGCTTCATAAATGTGCTCCTGTCTCTACTTAAATAAATGTAACCATTAATCAGACATTGGCATCTTTTATCATATCACGATTACTGCCATTCTATAAAAGCAGTTTAAGACACAAATGAACCAGTTCAAAGGTTTACATAGCCTTGTTACCTGGATGATCAGTTTTGCTTTTCTAGCATCTTCTGCATATTTGAACCCTTTCCAACAGAGACTGTATGATTTTTAGATCCGTCATTTCGCACTGAGATTGCAAGACTCGTACACAACAAACATTCACTGATGCTCAAGAAGGAAACACAATGCATTAAGAGATTTTGAATAGGATGATAATGTGAATATTTCTTATTTTGTTTAAAGATCATATTTTTTTTATTTAGTACTGCCCACAAGAAGCTACAGAAGATATTTACGTTTCAGTGCAATAGTACATAAAAAAATAACATGCAACGTTGAGTCAGCAGACTTAAATGTGTTTCTCTCAGCTTGAAACTTCAGAGGGACATTTGAACATTAATTTTGTATACTTAGCAGTCATTACAATGCAGAAATTACACTTTTAAGATGCTCTTTTAGATGTTATTAGTGATGCTACTAACCATCGACACATTGACCACAATATCATAGAGAGAGCAACCACTTAAAAACCATCTAACAATGATGCTAAGTTCTCAGGCCAACTTCCAACATTTAGTTTTGCAAAAATGTGTACCACTCATTTTCTTCAGAAAATGTAATAATATAGTTATTCTATTTGTAGTTTTGTCTTCTTTCCATTCATCTTTCCAATGTGTGTGTGTCCAATGTATGTGTCTGCACGATTGCTAAATTTTATTGTTCCCTGCATTGACATCACTTTTCATAAATAGATCTCCTCCCTTGTCAAGGTTTAACTTGATTTTTCACTGATGGATAAGCGTCACACACAGGCCGGGTGTCATTCTGATCTATTAATCAGGGTGTGTTAAGAGATCCTCCCTTTTTATCCCAGAGCTGGAGGATGAGAGGAGGGACGGGGGGGATAAAAGGATAGAGAAAGAGCTATGGTTCTGTTTAGGTCACATGATCAGATGTTGTGCGATAGCAGCTGGCCCCTTCGATCTTAACACACACTCGTTCCTTGCCCTGGCACACATCTTGCTCTCACTGTATCTCTAGTGTGTGTGAGTGTGACAGCTGTCTGCTGCAGGACATTGTATCACTGTGACTTACTATGTCATTCTGCTGTTGCTTTTTTTACAGGGATTATGGATCCAAACGCAAGTCAGGTAAGACAGCCTTTTATTTACCTCCCATCTGAGTGTTAAACCTGTTGCCGGGTTTAAGGACTAACTCTGCATGCCCTCTCTGTTATTGCGGCATTGAATGACTTGCTGTTTTGCACTCAGCTCAGGGTAGGGAAAGGGTTTCTTCAGAGAATCGCACATGACTCAGAGGTTTTTTGAGCTCTGGGAGTGTCAGCTGTAAAAGGTTTGGGAATAACTGGCGGGACTTTGGAGGAAAGCCACATGAAAGTATGTTCATTTGTACTTTATGCTGTTGCCAACATGGTCTCAGCCAAGTTGTCCAGCTGAAGGCACAGAAAAAAAAACGTGGCACCACCTTTTTCTTAGCATTTGGTGCTGTTTATTTTATTTTATTATTATTTTTTTTTCCTGAGTTCATGTGTAATTAAATATATATACTTATTTTTCAGGCTGTTATTATAATGTTGAGGCACACAGACCTGATTTATGACAAGGATTAGACCAAGTTTCCTTTGCATAGCATGCTAGGGTGTGTGTTTTGTGAGTGCAGTTTTGTGCAGTTGGGACTCACTCAGAGATGCATATCCACACACACACACACACACACACACACCATTGAACACTAATGCAATTTGGATTGGAGTGAGTGTTGGAGTTCCTGTTGTCTCTCCCACACACATCCCTTAGAAACATTTTCCGTTTTTGATCTGTTTGCTTACCGCTTGTAAACACACATTCATTTGCTCTGACAATACTTGAAATTTACTAACATTTGCATTTAGTTTTGGGTTCCAAATATGCAATATAGATGTAATCAGAAGTTTTGAGTGATGTATTAAATAATTCCAGATGTTGGTATATTTCCTATTATTTATAACTTTAATTTTCCAAAAAAATAAATAAAAATAAAAATAAAATTAAGAAGTTGTTTCAAGGTGCAATCCTCTATGCTGTTTTTATAAAATAAAACTGGCAGTTGTGGTTGCCAGAATAATTCTGTAAAATATACAGTAAAAATGTTATAGAGCAAGCAGTAAATTTTACAGTTTAATTCCAATTTAATTTACAAAAACAAACCAACCAACCAGTAGATCTAACAGCTTTTTTTCTGTTGAATTAGCATAACCACTCTGATCCTTTAACTTATACTGACAACCAGCATAATAACACAGGAGGTAAAGAGAAAGACACATGATAAATCAAAGTTCATCACAAGTTGCTTTTCCACAAGCTGAGGTAAATATTAATATATAGAAGATGCACACAGTGTCATGGATAAATACAAAACACCATCATAATAACACACGTGGCATTTAAATAATACAATAAACATTCATTTAACAAAGTAAGATGTAACATGAAACCCTAATGTACATAACTAGTGAGAACTAACTAAGAATAAACATTTATTTCAATGAACACCCAAATGGAAAGTGTCACATTAAAAGTATGGTCTTTTACCATTTAAAATGCAATCATTTTTACAGTAAGTAAAGTACATCAACATAAAAAGTGCTCTGTCTTGCAACACTTAAACCAATGTTTTGCGATATGGAATCTAGTACTCATGTGATTCTGATGTTAAGAGCTGAATGTGTCTAGAGGGTGAAAAGCACATGTACAATCACATGCATGAAGTTCAGCCTAGAGTCATTTCTAGTGATTTTTTGGGGGAAGGAGTGCAGAGTTATGGTCTTACAATGTAGTTATTTCAGTACATTTGTGATGAGGCAAAGTGCTAGACAGACAGGTTTAGTTTTATAGATGATGTTGGACCAGATTGTAAAGAGGGCAACATTAAGGTTTGTGAATATGTGTTTAGATCATGCTTGTCAGATCAAGTATGCACTAAGGTGTGTGTCACTAAGTATGAAAAAGCCATCAGTACACAAACACAAATGCACATTTGTTTTTCTATCATGTTGGGGACTTTCCATTGACTTCTGTTGTTTGTATAAATGTTATGTTTAATGGTATTGGTTCTATCCAATAATGTTAAACCTAACCTCTTCTTTTCGAGATTTTGATTAAAACATTTATTAAATACATCCTTGTGTATTTTGATTTAGGTTTTATTATGCTTACAGGGGCAATTGGATTCATTGGTGTAGGCAAAATCTGATCCAGACAAACATCCACTTTTTTAGACCAGTAGTTATTCTTGAGAAACGGGCAATTGTTTTGCAGTATTCTATTTATCAGGTCTGCAGTGTCTATACAAATATTTGTCTGTCCATTCATCATCTGTTTGTCTGTTTGTTAATTCACATTTATTTGCTCTCACAACATTTGAAAATTGCTAACATTTGGGTTATAATTTGACCAGCAGCTGAGCAATTCCAGCTGTTGTTTTCGCCCTTCTGCCTCTCATTTGACAATAAATCATGTGCAACCACTTATCATTAGTATTTTGGTTTACTGGAATTCATATCATCATCATCATCACCATCCTCTGTTCCATTCTGTTTTTAAGATGACCATGCGCATCTGCCAGACATCAGTAGTAATCTGTTCGCTACAAGTGAAATACATCCTGAAGATGTTATCCTAATTACTCAAATATGTATTTTGCAAGATTGGTAATTTATTTTTATGTTTAAAGATCTGTGGTTTTACTATGTCCCCATCTCTCGGTCAGTTTGAATACCTTGCTTGTTGGTTTCCATCTTCATGAATTATCTCTGAGGGTTTAGCAGGTGGAAACTGCAGCTGGGAAGTGTCATTATCAAAAACAAACTTGTTGTAGGCGTGGGCTTTGTATATCCCCTGACAGTCCCGTTTACCAAAGCTTCCACACCGTGATGAGAAATTTCATTTGAAAATGTTTTAAAAATGGCTGATTTGCATGACAATGTAAGGCTTGGAAGGAGCATTGTGTTTTCATTACAGATGGGCATCACTTCCTGTGTCAGCAATGACTGATTATGAAAATATTTACATTAAAAATTATACATTATTTCTTTAAAGCTTTTTACATCAATTGCAATCTATATATTTATATTTATATTTCCATTAATGGCAAAATTAATGCATTAATGGAGTGACTTTGTGGTTTCAGGTTACATTGTTACACCAGTAGGTGGCGAAAAGTGAATGTTGCTGAGCAAATCTTTCATTTATATAAACAGGAGATTTATATATATATATATATATATATAACGCTGAGGAAAACTGTACTAGGTAGGGTTGTGGAGTTACTGATGTTATGAGGTGTTAGTGCACCTGTCCATCTTATCTTTTTATTAATACTGCAGAACTTATAATTACATACAAGCTCAGGCCTGGATCGCATTCTTACTTAACGAGATTTGGCTGTAGAGTACCTACTCTTTTAGCGCTCGTTAAGTAAGTACTTAATGAAATGAAGTACCTACTCATTGAGTAGGCGGTTTCGGACGCAGCCAGTGTGTTTATGAGCGAGTCATTGAATCATTTACTCAGTTGACTCGTTCAAAGACGCTGATTCATTCATGAACAAAACGCCACCTACTGTGTGTTGCACAGAGACACACAGCGATGTTGTGGATTTGTTTGGAACTATTTACGTTGGCAAAAACAAACAAGTAACTGTAAATATAGTGTAAGTTACTCAATATTAATTTGTTATTGTTAACTTATGGCACCGATTCGGCGGTAGGCTTGAGGTGAAACTGCTCGTACTCTGTAACAACAGTACACATGTTTGTTTCATATTGCTTAAATACTTGGCTGTAATCTTGGCTGTATTGACAAACTGCTAACTGTTTCATGAAAGGAGGTGCAGGTAAAGCATACCTTCTGCTTGCAATGGAAACAGGGCCAGTGTAATCAAACTGAAATTATGTGTATCATGAGACAAACTTTGATATTGCCATAGAGACTAACAAACTAAAGAGGTGTTTCCTTGTAGGCTTAGGTAAACAGTTTAAAGATAGGGGTCACAAGTAGACTTTTATAGCTTTGTGGTGGCAGAAAGACTGGAGTCTCGTTTCCCTCTGAGGTGGCCCTCCTTAACGGTATATGATTACAATATAATCACTCATACAGAGCATAATTCAATAGTATTACGCTATAGCTGTGGGACTTTACGCAAATAAATGGCAGAGCCCTGACTGAATCCTTTATGAACCTCCAGTTCGTTTTTGAACCTCTCTGATAGTCCTGATGATTTATAGCTACTTTCAGCCATTCTTTGCATGAAATTGTGGGACATTTCTGTGATTAGTACACATTCTGCCCATAACAGACCCATTAAAGTCATTTATTTTGTCTTAATTATTAAATTGTCATATTAAATTCTTCTAAAAACTCGATGCTTGGGATTTTGTTGATGCTTTAATTCTTCACATTGCACTTCAGTGATGGTTTACGTTGTTTTTAGAATTTTTTTTTTTAGATTGTTGATGTTTTTTGTTCATGCTTTTCACTTTTAATAGGTTTTCAGTTATACTTTTCATAAAACTTTGATTATGCTTTTCACTTGGTAGAATTTTGATGATGCTCTTCAATTTCAATCAATTTAATAGATTTTTGTTGATACTTTAAACTTTTTTTTTTTTGTAGGATTTTGTCGATGCTTTTTGCAATCCATGTAGGACACTTTGTGTTAAAAATTTTTTTTGTAAAATTTCAATGATATTTTTTGTTGATGTTATATTTTTTGTTGCATTTCGATGATGCTTTTCAGTACTTTTGCTTACCTTGTAAATACTGAAGGCTGTTGTAATACAGTAAACTCTATAAGTATATCAAGAGTTACATAACTCTAAGACCCTTAAGAGCTCAGTTTGGCTTGTTAGGCACATTTCTACAGGGAGACCATCTTGACAAGCAGATGGGTTTGAGACACCTAAGCCCCCAATAGGGAACATTTTTGCCTGTTTCTGTCCTCTCTGAACTGCTCTTATGTCAGTCTGAAGACATAAACCACCTGTTGAGAAGTTCAGAGCCCTGAGGATTAGATAAAGAGTGCCAAAACCGTCTGATCTGTCCTTCACACTTCACAATAGGGGAAGTTTATATGTGATCTGCACCATCATTTT